GCTTTGTACATAAAATCTGTAGTCCATCACAAATATTTCACTAAATCTGTAAAAAAAACACTTTACAATGATCAGTACACCCTATTCATTTCATATGCTACCATAATTTTTTTTCTTTAGGATAGTAAGTGGTTCAAATATATGCCAAATGAGACTAAAACTACATGCAAGTTTTCCATTGAAAAGTGAAAAACTGGTCATCAGACCATACTGTCTGCAAAAAAAAGTTGAATTCAAGAGTCCTTTTGCAACTAGACTTCTTGTATCATGACATCTTAGCATAGAAATGAGCAAAAAGTAACAAATTTCAATTTCTTATAGCCTCTGTGTGCATTTTTATATGTAAATATGGGCTACGGCCTAAATCGACTCTAAATAATTCTCAGTCTTACATGGCCTAAGACCATTTTATACTCATGTGGTATGCTTTTGTGTAACTTTTCTTTACATTTAAAGTACATTTAATATATATGGAAGAATAATGTATGGATAAAAAACTTCAAAAACTTCAAATTGGTTGAAAAAAATGCATGTTTATGTAAGGCTTCCCTTAATTCGAAAATCTCTATTTTCAGGCACAGGCTCATATAAATTTGACTTTTGAATAACTGAAATAAATCTGATAAATCAAATGAGTATTCCGTTGCTTTTAATACTTATTATATTAAATTCAAGAGTACTTAAAAAGCAAATTTTTGCAATATTTAAATTTTTTAGGCCAAAATCTTGACAGTTGAAAATATTTGATTTAAACGTCAAAAATAAACATCCAAATTTCAATATTAAAATGGCCCTAGTTTCTATAATATATATTCTATGGCCATGAAACTTGGCCAACTATCTTATAATTGCCTAGGGTTAGGTAATGCAAAGTTTTATTAAAATTGGTCAAGTCTTTCTATCCTATTAGGTCCAAGGACACAGTTATCGTCCTTTGGTTTTCGTTGTCTACGAATATAGTCCCTAGTGTGAACAGTGTATAACTTGCATTTTTTTTTTGATAGATACACTTTCCCAATTTATTTCTTGATATTTTATGCATGAAATATTAAGTAAGGGGATGAAATTACATGTTAAAAAAATTTGGGTGCTGAATCTTTATGTTAAGTAGTGATTTGGTCCAGTTAAAAAAGGTCAAAAATTAGAATGTCTGAAGCTGTCAAACTGAATTTTAGCCCCCCTTAACACAGAATTGTCAATATTTTGAGTTAGAGCTGGTAGAAGTTTCTATAATTTTGATATTATTTGTATCAATAGTAGTACACTACACTGTAAAAATCTTTTTGAGATAGAGCAGGTGCGATTTTTTTTAATTTGAATTTATTGTCTAAAAGAAATGCACTACGAAATAACTGTGTTCTCGGGCCTAAGAATCATGATTTTCTTGATAGAGAGTTGCTGCTAACAAGGAAGCTATTGAACCAAGAGATCCAAGTGGTAAATTTTAAACTATCCCTTCGACAATTCTACTGACGCCATCACGAGTTGGTTGACCGTTATAAAATATCTGTTTCACATATAGCGACGAATATAATCCAATTGTTGTTACCACAATCTCGTCTTCTTTTCATCGAACGTGACCTACCGAGTTGGACTTATTACCGGGTTTGAACTTTCATGCGCAACACGATGTGTGCCACATGTGGATCAGGATATGCTTACCCTTCCGGAGTAGCTGAGATCAACTCCGGATTATTGTGGGATTCGTGTTGCTCAGTCTTTAGTTTTTTCTATATTGTGTTTTGTGTACTTTTGTTTGTCTTTTCGTCGTTTTTAGTTTTTGCCATGGGATTGTCAGTTTTCGAATTGAATGTCCCTTTGGTATCTTTCGCCGCTCTTTTACCACTGATGGTGGACTATCAGTTCACGAAGGTATCATCAGCTAAGCAGTCAGTACTTCGGTACTGACGTGATTTATAACAAACCTTTATAAAATTGTCCGTTTATAAATTTTGAAAATTAAAAAAAACTCAGGTTTCAATTCCATCAGGCAAAGTTGACCTGAAATGGATTTGACTATTTTTCTTTTGTCTTTTTTTGTCATATAGCTCTTCAACTGTTTCGGTTCTTATACATCCTTGGCTTTCAAATATTCGGCTTTGAGCGTTCTTGATGAAGGTAAATCCAGAAAAGCGGTTCGGACGCATGAAATTTATAACGTGTTCTTTTTATTTTTTATAGTTGTGTAACAGTAGGTTGTAACTAACTAACTAACTAACTATACGAAAAAAGGAAATGATTGTATGATTGCCAATGAATGAAAGAAATGTCTACCAGAGTTCAAATTAATTAAGAATTGAATGCTTCTTTTTGTAAATTCATTGGGGTGTAAAAGCGTTGACCGAAGTACATTTTGTATGAAGCGCGGAAGCGCTTCATTCTAAAAATGTACGCACGGTCAACGCTTTTACAACCCTATGAAATTACTAAAAGAAGCATTCAATACTTATAATTACATTTTTTTCGCTATGATTATGAAAACACGATTACTATCATTTTCTTTTATTTACCTGTGCACTTTACTGTGGAAACGTGTGTCACCATGTATGTTACAATTCATGAAATTCATTTTGAAATGAAGAATGACGCGAGATTGCTGCTAGCCAATCAAAATAACGTATAATAATGAAACATACATCTAATGTAATTATTAGGATAATTATAATCAATTATAGGCCATCGTTTGGCCTTCGATAACGAGAAAAAGCCATACCGTGTAGTCGGCTATAATAGGCCCCGACATTAAAATGTGAAACAATTCAAACAAGAAAACTTAGGGAGGGTTTTGCGTTTTCAAACCTGTCACATTCTTTATGTGTCTGTCTCAGTTAAGGGCCTGTAATTCTGTAGTTGTCGTTGGTTGATGTCTGTCTTATATTTGTTTTTCGTTTGTTGCTTTCAGAAAAACTAAAGCAGTTTTTTTCTCTTTTGAATTGTTTCACATTTTGTCATGTCGGGGCCATTTATAGCTTTCTATAAGGTATGCGTTTTGCTCATTATTGAAGGTCGTACGGTGACCTAATGTTATTGACCCCCTCCTCGTACTTTGGTCTCTGGTAGGAAGTTGTCTCATTGGCAATCATATAAATAAGAAGATGTGGTATGAGTGCCAATAAGACAACTTTTCATCCAAGTCACAATGTGTAAAAAATAAACAATTATAGGTCAAAGTACGGCCTTCAACGCGGAGCCTTGGCTCACACGGAACAGCAAGCTATAAAGGCCCCAAAACGACTAGTGTAAAACAATTCAAACAGGAAAACCAACGGTCTAGTATATGTAAAAAACGAGAAACGAGAAACACTTATGAACCACACCAACAAACGACAACTACTGAACAACAGGCTCCTGACTTAGGACAGGTGTCCTAGACGAGTTACAGCAAATAAATTTGCAATGAGATTTTTCAAAAGACCATTTTATTAAATATGAAAACTTTTTCTTGATAAGATTGTGTGGAAGTGTAATGTAGAGAGTAGAAAATCATAACTGTCAACAGAATTAAGAGGCCAATCAAAAGCGTACCACATCTTATTTTTAGATTCGATATTTTAGGAATGACTGTAATATGTTTTCGGTCTATGAAGATATAACATCAAAAATGTGGTGCAGACTGAATACCCCGCGTAGCGGATTATTTAAAAGTGTGCACCACATTTATGAGGACAGAAAAAATATTAGTCATTCCTTATAATTTAATTCCATAATTCCATTTTTAGCGGTTGTTACACGTGGAGATGTTGTTACATGTGGAGCAGACTCTGCTTACCCCTCCGGAGCAGCTGCCATCAACTCCGGTTTTTTGTTTTCTATATTTGTGTTTTGTAGACTAATGTTTTGTCATTTTGGTTATTTACCCTGTTTTTAACAATAGCGTTGTCAGTTTGTATTCGATTTATGAGTCAGAATATCCCTTTGGAATCATCCACCTCTGTCTCGAGCTGTTCAATAGTCTGTTAAATCGTTAAATATGTTGCACATCATGTTCATGTGTAGTGAGGTCCTGTCGTATTTGCGTCACTTTATGGTCACATTTGACCAAAAATATCCGTTTAACATCTTTGTGTTGTTAAGCTTTACTCTACAGCAACAGCTTTAACAGAAAAAAAATTGGCGTCGTCGGGTTCCGCCACTGGAACAGGAATTAGCTACCCAGAGCATTTTGGTGTTCAGTTAGCTTCATTTTTAGCTCTGTGTGGAAGTTATATTGACACTTTTTATGCTTTTTATCGATGTTCATAGTATCTGTAATGGTTGGTGGCAATGTCTTGTCCTTCTTGATCCTATACAAGAGTATGGAAGCCTCTTATCTGTTGAAACTATTGAAGTTCTCGTTAAATGTTCGTTTTTATGTCATATATTAGTCTTGGGTTAAACTGTCCTATCAGTGTATTCTTATCGCATTATTCCAATACTACTAAGAATATTATCTTGGGAAATATATCATGCCGGACCTTTGCATTGCAAGTGCAAAAGGAAAAGCAGCTCACTCAGATCAATCTCTTGAATATTTGTGCAACAACCCTTGAAGGTCTATAAATATTACCAAGTCAAAATGTTTTATTTAAAACTTTCCAATTACCACACGATTTTAAAGCATGAGTATATACAATTCACTCGATTCGTCTATATTTTACATGTTTTATTTTTGGCTGAAAGAAACAAATAACATTCAAAGCCAATCATTAACTTCATGGTAGATGATACCCTCAAGGACCAACAGCCTACTAGAAGTTAGAAGAAAAACACCTTTTATTGTTTTCTTTTTTTAATAACTGTTCATAAGTTTGGACTTAAACAAATATACGGTAATTGTGTGTCCTTCTGTGGTGTCCTATCTTGTATAACAACATCACAATTCATGCTTATTTTTAATGGACGAATGTATGTATGCGTCGAAATCAACTGTGTATACATAAACACTTCGAACTTTAGATTTGTCTTTCGCTGAAAATAATTAAAACTACCGTGCGTCTGTTATCGAGACAAAAATCGAATGCTTTGTATAATCCCACATATTTATAAAATTCATTATGCAAATCTCACATATTCATATACCTATACAATTATGTTTATTTTGTACAAAAACAAATTCAAGTTTATAAAATCAGTTTTCATTTAGATTGTTTTAGTATGATAAGTACTAATTTGACTAATGAATTTCAAGCGAGCACTGTTTTTGCATGGTACTTTCCCCACAAATATTACAAAACTGTCATAGAACTACATTTTCCGTATCATAGTCCATTCACTTATTGTAGCTGCACATACATGTCAATATAAAATTACCTCTTTTGTGCCATTATAGCAACGAATTCTGAAATAAAAAAAAAGAACAAAGAACAATTACTTTAGTCTGAGAGAACATGATAAATTCATAAGTTGTAATTGGCTTTGAACTAGCTTTAAGTAACTGCGAGTACTCCTATATCGGTACTTAGTGTTTTTTTGTTATATTACTTGTTGTTTGCGCTTCGTACTAATCTATTGTGATAAGAAATTTCCAAAGATTTTTACAGTTTATTCTTATGCTGTGCTGTTGCATCACTGTCCAAGGTTTTAATGTGTCTGTCCCGTGTGGTTTTGCTCATTGTTGAAGACTGCGCGTTGATGCATGTAGCTGCTTACGTCCAATTTGTTCCATGATCAAACATACCTTCATAGTTAACCTGACCATCTCCATCAATGTCTGCTTCTAAAACCATTTCTTCAATCTCGTCTTCTGTTAAATTCTCACCAAGACTTAGCATTACTTGTCTTAATTCGGACTGACTAATTTGTCCATTTCCATCTTTATCAAATACTTTAAACGCTTCCCGCAAATCTTCTTCTTGGTCGCCGCCATCTTGTTGCTTCTTTGCCATCATGGCTACAAATTCAGGGAATTCTATTGTTCCATTACCTAATTGTAAAACGTAGAGAACAATGAAACGTTTTCTAGACTTAGGATGATTTGGAGTTTGACAAATTGTTGACCTCTAGATAGTTATAAGAAGATGTGGTATGAGTGCCAATGAGACAACTCTCCATCCAAGTCAAAATTTATAAAAGTAAACCAATATAGGTCAAAGTACGGTCTTCAACACGGAGTCTTCTTATTTATCTAGTATGTGTTTATATGTCCTTAATTTGACGTCACATAGACATTTACTCTTCGCCTAATTTTATTGTAAGTAGTAATGATGGACATGTACGCTATCGGTAATGGCCTTCGTTTAAATAAATTATATATGTCTTTTATTTGTTTAACTACATTTTAATTAGATATCGTGCTGATTTTGACTTGTTATACTATATGTTACAAAACGAACAAACTATTGGAAGCGAAAGCATACTTATTTTATCATATAACCAGAGTGTACACTTTTTAATAAATGTCTAAATGTAACACGCATACATTATGATATAAAAATATAAATATATTAATCTAAAAAGATGTGGTATGACTGCCAATGAGACAACTATCCACCAGAGACTAAAAGACGTGGGTGTTAATCTGCTATAGTTTTAGTCTGTCGTAGCTTTTCTTAAAAGACGAGTATCAAATTCACAATTTATAATTTTTTTAATGTTGTAGAACTAAAAGTCTGAGAGCGTCTTTTGTACAAACTGAAACGAAACAAATTGGACAATGGCACAACTTAATTAAACAACAAACCATCAACATCAATTTCATGTATCATATCCCTTAGTTCATTTTCTGTCGGTTGTTGCCCTAGAGATTTCATAACAGTTCCTAGCTCATTTGTTGTTATCCGACCATCACCATTTTTGTCAAATAAATTAAAGGCGTCCTTCAACTCTAAAAGAGAGAATCATTTTATATAATGCATATTGCTGTATGTATATAAATTAAATCCATCGGTATACTTTTAGTATAATTACAAGTTATTTGCGGATACTAAGGCTTTTCTACCCCAGGAATAGATTACCTTAGCTGTATTTGGCAAAACTTTTAGGAATTTTTGGTCCTCAATGCTCTTCAACTTCGTACTTTATTTGGCCTTTTTAACTTTTTTGATTCGAGCGTAACTGATGAGTCTTTTTTCTGGCGCAAATACAAAATTTCAATCCTGGTATCTATGATGAGTTTATATACGTACATTCAGATTATTCTTAATTTGTAATTGCATTTATTATCAAATTTGTTTAATTGTGATTAACTGACATTCACTTTTGAAGAAAATGATATGTCGGAGTATAAGCCAATGAGACAGAAAACCAATCTGATTAAATCTGATGGTGTGATCCGCTACTCTCCCTATAGGTGGAGAGTATCGTAGCGAAAACTAACATCTGATTTTAATTAGATTGACAGCAAGCCAACGATACAAATGGTACAGTGGTAGACAATAGACATGTGCTTATACAATATGTCACGTTTCCAAATGGACAAGAGTAATGAAATGTGAATAAATTAAACAGCAACTGTAAATGATCAGCAAACGTGCTCTGAATAACATATGAAAAAAAGACAACCAGTGACCAGGTTCCTGACCTGGGACCATTTCTTCATTTTCAAGTGGGGTTAAAATATTTATTAGCATGTTGATTCTCACACTAAGGAGAAACGAACATTCAGCTAAGGCAGCAAATTGAGAAAGATTCTATGTCGCCTAACACTTATAACCAAAAGATCGCTTATTAACATAAAATAATATGTATTAGCCTGTTTTCAGTAGTCATAGATGGGAGTAGTAAGCTTGGTATCCCACGCAGACTGCTTGGTCTATTTCTATGCCAGGTATGTAAATATTGAAATAGTAAAACAAACATCCAAGTTAAAAGCAGAATAGAACCCATGTTGATTTTGTTGCTTTGAACATATTTTTCGTTTCTTTGGCTTTTAAATCATAAAGAAGGTTAATCTTTTGGAGGTCTTTTGAATCAATTCATTTATATTTCACATCTGCCCGTTATTTAAAACTGGATTTTTTTTTGTAATTTTGAACATGTTCGTGGTTCTCCTATACTTTCGTGGTACTACATTGTAAGCCTTAACGCACTACTCAATACACTAGAATGATAAATTACCTTCAATGTGCTCGTCTGATAATGTGTTAGTCTACAAATATAAGAACATTGAAATCGTATCAAATTCATATCTGTAATAATATTTGTAAATAATAAACAGATAATATAGCAGGTGTTTATTTAGTGACTCTTTACAGGTAGGCGTTTTACCGTCACACGCCTTTATTTCATATAAGTGCATATTTGTTCATTTAATTTCACACTGCGACACCAAACGAACTAGTAGATAATATGTGTTACTTTACGCTTATAATTGTAGTTAAATATGTTATTAAAGACGGTTTACCGATGCAGTACACCTATATATGCTTGGCTGATTATAGTTCATTATCCAGTAGGGCAAATGAAGTCATCAGTGAAAAACAAATTATATTCAATTACATAAAGGGGTGATACCTAGTTGGTTAATAGGGTAAGAATTTGCCTCAATTCTTGCATCATCCATCATGTAATATTCTTAAACGAGACCATTTAAATGTTTAACGAGTAAAAATATCTTATACAATGATCAAGTCATGTATAATTAAAGTCAAGCGTAAATAAATATGAAGTAAACAAGTAATTCAAAAATGTAATAAGGAAATAATGAATATACAATGCATATACATTGTAGGAACATGTAGAATTCATTAATTTTAAACATGTACGATCTGTAAAGAAACAGGAAGGAAATCTGGGCTCCCCGAGTCTTTTTCCTGTTTTATAGCGAGTACAATGTACTAGTTGTATAGGTTTTATCCTGAGTACAGGATAAATATAAACAAATAAATGAATTCTCTATTGACAAAGGCATTAGATAGGCTATAGCAACAAAACCGGTTTAACAATATGACAATGAAAGATATATTTATTATACAATTATTAAACTAATATATCTGAATGTGAAGATGAAAGAGTTTGCAAGATGCTAATTAATTGTTCTTATTTTAAGATGACCTTGGATAAGTTCTGCTTCATATATGTATGAGTACACCAATTAAACACCAAGCTGATCATTGCGCAATCAGTATACTCTACAATGTCTGAATAATATATTGACAATGCCTATTTCGCTGCTTTTAATATTGGAATCACTGTAGATTTTTTTCGAGATAATAAACTGATATCTTGAATCGGATAAAACAGAAATTCAGTTTTTTAGTGATAGTATATTTTCATCGTTTGACAAACATACATGTAACATCATTCAAATATTTTCAGATGAAAGTATCAATTAGATATGGGTATTGTTTTCACACTGAGTTTTCTCATTCAAGTTTTCTTGTAATGATAAATTGAATACAAAACCAAACTTTAAAGTAGTTCATCCATCTAATAAGACTGTATTTGTACACGGGCTTTCATTCAACATAATTCATTGAACATAATGAAAGCTGACAGGTATACATTTCTAGATCATTTGCTTGGCCTAGAGTTAGTTTAGAACGCTATATTTTACACAAATGGACAACTTTCTATAGTTTACTACACATAGTTTTATATACACGTATAAATGAAAAAGGCGTGTCCTGTTTTATTTTCCTTTATAAGTCTTAAATATATAAAACATGATAAATGTAGTGTATATGTATATGTGTGTGTTTAGAATGTCATCGTTTTGAGCGTAGAAGAAATAAAAGTTACTTACCATTATTTTTGATACTCTAGGACTTCTCAATAAAACTGATATTTGACCTGAAAATGGTGGAGAAATGTTTAGCTGGGGTATGTACGGGGTAATTTTACATTTTATGTGTTTATTTATTTGACATGGTTAATGATTTTATTAGTTGTGATTTATGATTATATAAGTTTCTCTTATCAAGCTGGGATTAAAAGTGTAAAAGATTTTTGATTGCTACTCTTTAAATAACTAAATGGTTGTAGTTTCAAACTGTATATATCTTATGACAAATTTTGACAATTACATTACTTTATCTACATTTAGTAATAATTCTACAGCCCATTCATACAAATAGAAATCAGTACATTTAAAGATAAAACGATAAATTCTTAAGTGGTGTGGGCTTAGTCTAATCAATGCAGTTCGCTTTAATATTTATATGTTAACGGTGAATAAGTGAACACCATTAGTTCTTAAACATATATTATACAGTAGCATTTTTGTTTTAAATGATAATGTCTTAGAGATGAAAGACCATGTGCAACTGTTTATTAAAAAAATTAAAACGTAAAATATGCATGTTTGAATTAAATGTCAATATTCTTTTTGTTTGGAAAAAAGACCTAATAGTTTTGGAACATATTTTTTTTACAGAATACTTAATTTGCCTAAATCCATGACAACCGGCAAAGTGAACAGCTAGTATGTCTGACCAGAAGATTATAGAGACTTGTTTGTAAGTAAATGTCTGCTCATTCTGCCAATGATACTCATGAACAATTCAGCTGTACTGATAATTTTCTGTGTTAGTGACGATAATGGTAGTTTGGTCGTTAACATGATATTTCTAAAATGTTTTGAAGCATCTAGTCTTTAAACGAATCTTCAAAAACAGTGTTAGTCTTTTATTGGTCAGATATTTTATTATTATTTTAATTTTATCGTAATTCCTAAAAGGGAGGTACACCACCCTTTCTTCTGTATACAAGGATAGTTTTTACTCTAGTGTTGTACAATATACCAACAGCATCAACAATATTACACGCTTTTAAATTAGATTGCAAAACTTTATGTTTTAATATGTTTCTCATCTTTTTGTTCACACTATATGGAACAGAGTTGTGAGGAAGAACGACTGAAATCAACACTACGTATTAAGTCACGAGTTGGTTTCACTGGCGACATGTTTCCGAGGTTAGATCATTAGATACCAGTCTAGTCGTCTGCTATGTAATTTTACATATTGTGTTCAATTACGGACTGGGATATTTTGACTGATTGTGAATTCGAATAGCAGGAGACTGGCGCTTATCCTATATCGACGTACCTTGTTTCGCATCTTTTAGAGTTCATGCAATTTCGTAATTTGGTTCAGTTCATTGACAAAATTGAATTGGTATGATATTAGGAAGTAAAACGTATCTCTGTTTGAGGTGGCACGGTAGTATTTCCTGGCCCATAAGGGATAATGATAGCCTTTTTAGAATTTTCACCACTTTCTAACACTGCAAAAAATTCTACATTCACAGTTAACTGAAGTACTTTCATTTTACTATTCAGAAATGAATTTGAATGTGTATCATGACCGTTTACTTTTTTTGCTATTTTTAAAAATCTAAGGCCACTAGTGCTTTTAGGTCTTTTATCGTGCAGTGAATACAAAATTTAAAAAAAATCTCAAAAATTCATTTTCATCTGTATGTAAAATTATTTCATATTTTTCTACACCTGACTCATCCCTCAGTTTGGGAAAGTATGTTCAGTTGATACTGTATTTTTTGTCCAATCACACTGTTCAGATACATTGACTTAGGTAGGGTACACAAAAGAGCAACCTAAATACTGGAATGCAAATACTACCGTGCTACCTTGAAGCACAATCTGATTAGAATACAGATCATGTATCCAAGGTTTGGTTACAAGGCAAAGCTTACACACAAGATCTGTATTTTAAACAGATTTTTTGCAGCAGAAACGCAAATATGAAAGACACAACTGGAGATTCATACTGTGAATGTGTACAACTATGATATTGATCACCTATATATATACATTTCCTCGTTTATCTATATTATGTTATCTATGCAACTAGATGTTATACCTAATCCATCATCAACATTATCATCTCGTGAAATAATTTGTCTCGTAATAAACTTCTCCAAATTTCACTTTTGGTAATATTATTTGGTCAGCCCGCACAAATGCTATTGACTGGTATTGTCACGAGCACATACAAATACGGTATTTTCACGGATACGTGGAAATCCGGAATTGTCGCGGTCAAAAGGAAATCTAGTATTTAAATATCATTTGATCAACAATAAGAGTTATTTTCTTTTTCGTAAATGGCTATTCAACAGTCATTTGGTCTTGGAAACTCTGTCTCGTGTATATCTTTTCACCATTATTAATGCTCGCATTACATCAGTTATATTTTAGTGTCACAAACACTTCCTTGAAATTCCTTTGATACAATCTTTCGTGTATTATGTGATCTTAACTCTGGCTAACTTGAAGCTAACGTTAACTTTATCTTTTTTAGATTTTATCATATGTATAGATATGGTCCAGTTGTACTGTTGTATTTGTGGTGATTTCTACTATCCTTTAAAAGTATTATTCATATGTTCTATTTTGTCTTATTTTCTAGAATTTATCCATGTAATATGACAAGGCACACATAGGCTCGAATTTTTTTTTCATTTAGTGACACAAATATCATAGCATTTGTTGTTTTGTCACCAACAAAAATAATCCTTACACAGTAAACAAGAAAAATATATTCTTCTTTTAATATTTCTTGCCCTTTTCGCGGTTTTTTCTGACACAAATAAAAAGCGTTTTATTCTTACTTGAGAAATTATATTTTCAGATAACTTCTGCCAAGCGAGACAACTCTGATACATCTTCTTAAAAAAAACCCATCATATATACCAGGATTAAATTTAAAGGGCATACGCACATGTAGTATTAATAAACCATATACTATATCAGGAGAGTAATTCCTAATTTGCATTTCTTAACTTTATATTCCGACACTAATACTTATACGAAAAATAATAAAATTTCATTTCCGAGTCCGATAACAATTATAGTAACCGACCTTTTTACATTGACATGTACGATTAAAATGGAGGGTGGTATATTTAAAATTATCTTAAATGTCATACAGAAATGTTAATATAGTTAACTCCCATTGCTTTATTCTCAAAGTATGAGGTTTAAATGTACACATTTCTTCTCTTAGCTTGAATCTGACAACAATAGATAAAAAGATATATGATTTTAATCAACCACCTTAAGAAAACCTTTTTTAATTTCCATTTAAAAGGACATCACTCAAGATCCCATATTTATTAAATTTTGTTGTGTACACTCGATATTCAAACATTTCTTATAGAATTTTGACAAAACAATCTCGGCCGTTTCGTTTGATTGTTGAATAGTACTTGTCATTTATATGTAAATATGTTATTAAATCTTTTTACAACTGTGCATTTGAGAAAATAAAACTTCAATAAGTGCTCAGTAGACTGTGGTCTGTATGTAAACTGTATGGTTTTAGCACAAATATAAAAAAAATATTTACAAGTGAAAAAGGACGAGTTTACCGATAAGATTAGAATGGTCTTTAAGTAGATGTATGCTCTTGTCAATGGATATGAATGGGGCTGAATGTTAAATTAAAGCGGTAGACATCTCACTACTCAAATACAAACCATAGAAGATGGTAAGTCAGAACTTACATACTTTTTTGGTTATAATTATTTCTTTTTGAGTGTTTTTTATGGTCTTTTTGCATCAATATCAAGCATCGTCAGTCACAACATTATCGTAGCAACTACGATTATAATAAAGACAATGAAAAAGGAAGACAAAAGACTATATATATATATATATATGTTGTGATTTGGGACATCGGTAAAAATACAAAGTTTTTCACATTTGAAAAGGTTTTAAATAAATAAGGCGAGTGAAAAAAAAATGAATCAAAGAATTTGTTTTCTATATCTAAATACATAGGAATATAAAATGGGTAAAATACTTAGAAAATCTATAATAGGAGACGTACAAATGCGATAAGTTTGTAAACATTCTGTGAAATTTCATTGCACTGTGTTGGAAACAGCATGGGTTGATTACACGCATTTGGTAGCGTTGAAATATTTGTCTTGAAATGACTAATTCTCAAATCTGGAACAAATTTGAATATTTTCATAAAACCATTCAATAAAAGTCTGTGCGAAAGTTCCATAGCTGTGAGATCTTTCTTTACAGTTTCATATATTGTGATTGAAAACTGTAGAAGTTCATTAAACTAAACAAGTACCATTTTCCCCGCCCGACCTCTCACTATTGTCATCACCATAAAATTCACTTTGTGCAACCCGGCTTTAAATTTGAAAGGATATTTTTAGGGTTTTACTCGTCGCTTAAGGTCGTTCGGTGACCTATAGTTGCTGACATGCACGGCATGTGGACTTCGATGGATAGTTGTCTCATATACAACCATAACACATCTCCTTGTTTGGTTTATTTTTGATATAGTTGAGTTTGTATGATATTTCTTTGTAAAAGCATCAAAGATGTGTGTTTTCATTTAAAATTTGTGTTTTAGGCTGATCAACTTACAGAAGAACAAATTGCAGGTATGAACCTTTGCATTTTGTTTTTCTTTCTTATGCAATTGTTTAAAAAATACATTTTCATTCATTGATTAAGTAAACTTATACTGGGTAACGGGTTCTTTGAATAGTATAATTTCAAGCCAAACACTTAAAGCTAAAACCTTTTATATATCTTTATGTTTTGATATTGAAATGTATTATTATAATTCAAACTGGGAGAAAGAAAAAAAAAAAACACACACAAAGAAAAATGCTTTTAGTGTTAAAAAATTAGGACAAGTTAATAGAATTGTACATTTTACAGAATATTATGAAGCTTTTCGTGCCTTTGACACTGACGGCGACGGCTCTATCAGTATACAAGATCTCGGAACAGTTATGATGGCTTTAGGACAGAATCCTACAAACCAGGAATTGAAAGAAATGACACATGCGTATGCTGATCCCGAAAGCAACGGTAAATTCTGCTGTATAGATCTATTTTTTTCAATATAAACTCCGGTAACAATTCGTTATCGGATATCTACAAATAATGAGGTGACATAAGGATTACGTCAGCCAGACAGCAACACACCGACTTGAAATCTACAAAGACAACAATAGATAAGTTTTCATATTTTGTATATCAAGATTTAACTTGCTCCGATCCTAATAAAAGTTGTGATTGAATAAATGGGACTATCAAAGATCTGTCGTCACTGACACTAAATTCTGAAATGACAAAAAACATTTAGATTATTGGCCAAAGTTTTGCTTTTCTTTGTTGTATGTCCGCTTGCTAATAGTTGATGGTCCAAAGTTTTAAAAAAACGCAAACGAAAAATCCATAAAATCACTGTATAAAAACAGATATTTCAGTGGACATCTTTACCGTAGTCATTTGAATGTCTTAAAGCATTTGGTTTTTCTCTCAGAATAAAAACGTTATATACATGTTCTGATGTGAAGGTTGCTTTAAATAATATTTGAACAAGGGTACTAGGTTTGTGGTTAAAAATGACATTCTTTGCATATTTATTCTAGTATAAGTATGATCTTATTTATATGTGTGTGTGCTTTTCTTTCAGACTGACTGGTAGATTTTGAAAAGTTTTTAAATTTGACGCAAAACAAAGTAAAAACAAAGATGGTCAAATAAATAAAGACAACTTTTTACGAGTTCGATCACTTGGGACAGGCATAATAATATTTGACGGGGTTAAATATGATTTTTAAATTTCAATCCTCCCTCCTTTAATCTTGATCAGCGGACTTTCCAGAAAATACACTTGTCCCGTTGTGACCGCCATCACAGAAAACAAAAACATCCACGTACAAGCATAGCAATTTAACTCGCTGGTAAAGTAATATGAAATTGTCGTCCTTCACTATACTATAAGAAACTGTTACCTCCAAAGCGATTTAATACAGCAACGTTATAATAAGTACACGAAGACACTATTTTTGTATTTTGAGATAACCCATATTTTGAGATAACCCATACTTTAATTATAGAAAAATCCCAAACCAGTACAAACACTAAGTCTTGTTTCAAACTATAAATGCTAATCGAATTGTTGTTAATCCTTCTCTTTTCCCCGCAAAAAAAGACGCAATGATTTAACAACTCATTCATGTATGCATGGGAATATCTTCTGTCACAACGAAATGTCAACTATAACAAATAAACACGTTGAGAAACAAGTAAGTGAGAAAAACGACAAAATATACATCAACATCAACAAAATATCTGCAGGTCTTCAGCATGAAATCGTATCTCCTTTTTACTATACTGTTCTTGGTTTTGCTGTTTCAAAATGTATATTTTGTTCACATTGGTCATTACTTTTACTTTGGTTAAACAGGAGAAGAACTCATAGACTTTCCCGATTTCTTATCTTTGGTGGCAAGGACAGTAAAGGAGACAGATTCCCATGAAGAACTTCGGGAAGCTTTCAAAGCATTCGACAAAAATGGAGATGATATTATAGATGCAGATGAACTCCGCAAAGCAATGTCAAATTTGGGAGAACAATTAAGTGATGCCGAAATCGATGAAATGATCAGAGCTGCTGATAAGGATGGTGATGGACAAGTTCACTATGAAGGTATATAAAGAAGTGTGTCAATATTTATTGCATTCAAGGTCCACAAAGAAGTAATAACTACAATCTCAAATCGTCACATATTTGACCATCTAATTTCTGGTATCATACTCTTGCCATCCATGTTGAACGCTTATCAACTGACAAAAAAATAACACAGATAAAATAGTGCAGACACTAACCTCCCTTTTGAACAATTATACGAAAATTATCAGTTTAAATAAGAGGATATCGGAAAATAAAGTAAAACTATCAAACGAAATGCAAGCATGGTAATACAAAGCTGACTATGCGGTATGGGCTTTGCTCATTGTTGAAGACCGTACGGTGACCTATAGTTGTTAATTTCTGGTCATTTGGTCACTTGTGGAGAGTTGTCTCATTGGTAATCATACCACATCTTCTTATTTTGATATTAATGAAGTACACAAAATGTCCGTCACAAGATATTTCACATTTGCCTTTTCGGGAATTACAAAATAAAAAAAAATCCTTTATTGCTTATATCTGTGTATTACTGCTATACGTGCCCTACATCAATGGGCTATTTTATAATGATGTAGTCGACAATCTCACAAAAATCTCGAAAAATTACACAGAGTTGATGTCAAAGAAACTCTGAAGTAACTACAATTTAAATGTGATCTGATTTTTCATTTTGAGTTCAACTAAATGTTGTTTCACTTGTCAACAAGAGGGTGGTCTTTATAAGACAAATGCAAATAATACAAGCATCGTGTCTCTTCTGCTGTTATTCCAAGAAGGATAAGTTATACAAAAAGATAAAAAAAAAAGACACATTGCAATATATTTAAAAATCAATATAATGGAAATTTAATGTGTTTTGATTTCAGTTAAAACAAAAATACAACGAAATGTAGAATTCAAATATCAATGAAGTTTTTAAAAGCAGTATGTGTCTTTAGCGGCATCACTAACTTTGAGACAGGTCAAAAAGTAGAACATGCCAATTAATGATAAATATAGATAAGAAGATGTGGTATGAGTGCCAATGAGACAACTCTCCATCCAAGTCACAATGTATAAAAAGTAAACAATTATAGGTCAAAGTACGGCCTTCAACACGGAGCCTTGGCTCACACCGAACAGCAAGCTATAAAAAATGACTTAAACAATTCAAACAGGAAAACCAACGGTCTAATCTATATAAAAAACGAGAAACGAGAAACACTTATGAACCACACCAACAAACGACAACCACTGAACAACAGGCTCCTGACTTATGACAGGTGCATACAAATTCAGCGGGTTTAAACGTTTCAACAGGCGCCAACCTTCACCTTAACCTGAAACAGTAGTGTAACATTACAACATAAAAAGACACATAATAGCAACTTGGAACCGATATTGGTATTTTCACTATAATTTTCAATCGATGACATTTCAACAATTTTATATTGTACAAAAGTCATTAAATGAAACAAAGATAATAAAAGTAAAAAGTTAATTTCACACGCTCAATGTTACACTATTTGATGATTTACGAAGATCGACTTCAGTTACCTTTATCTCTTTTTCTTTTTTCAGAATTCGTTCATATGATGGCCTCAAAATGAAGAAAAGCCATAAGGAATACAGTAGACTTGTGCAATACGATTAAACTTTTCTATTTATGCATTCAGATGAAGTTGTCTATTATTAATATAGAGATCACTCAGGAATAGATTACCTTAACCTTAGCTGTGTTTGGCAACACTTTTAGGAATTTTGATCCTCAATGCTCTTCAATTTCTTACTTTATTTGTCCTTTATAACTTTTGTTTGATTCGAGCGTCACTGATGAGTCTTTTGAAGACGAAACGCGCGTCTGGCGTACACAATTTCAATCTTGGTTTCTATATGACTTTATCTATCTCAAGTTGAAGTGCAGATTTTGACATATGTTGTAAGCTTTACAAGGACACCCACTGTAATAGTTAAGAAGCTTACGTTCGGTGTCAATGATCTCAACGAGAAGAAGTGTATGCTCGTTGATTGTTAAGTTAAAGCCCATTTCGCTAACCTGGTATCTATACATACATATTATTGACATGAAAAATATGAAACAATTCAATTGAGAAAACTGACGGCCTAATTTATAACAAAACAATTTACAAAAAACAAATATGACAGACATGAACCAACGACAAACACTGAAGTATAGGCTTCTGACTTGGCACAGGCATATACAGAATGTGGCGGGGTTAAACGTGTTTAAAGGAGCCAACCCTCCTCTTAACCGTAGTTTGTCGACATTTTCCGATTGTATACATTCTTACTATTTGAAAACTTTCGATTTTTTTAAGAATCCACTTCTTTTTGATACCACCTGTAGAGTACATCTAAGTGATCCTTACTTTCTTAATACTTTCTAAATCTGAGTATGTTTTAAATCATGTCAGTAGCGAAGCACCATCTGGTGGGCTAATTACACCCTCGGGGACTAAAAATTCACCAACAGCGGCATCGACACAGTGCTGATAATCGTGTATTTTTCCTAACCTTTTCCTTCGGTCAAGTTTATTGATAGAACATTTACAAAACCTGTTGATGTCTTAGGGTTAGACAATAAACGTTTTCCAATCTGCTATTGTTTTATACAATGTATTTATTATAACCTAATATAGATCATCAACGTATCAAATTAGGATTATATCGACTAGTGGAGCAGAAGCTGCTTAGCCTTCAGAGTTCCTGAGTTCATCATCCCCGGTTTTTACTTAGGATCGTGTTGGTCCATGTTTTTTGTTTTCTGTGTAGTGTCTTGTGCACTTTTATTTCATTTTTCCTTTAAGGCCATCATGGTGTTGTCTGTTTCAATTCTACTGATGGTTTTTGATTGTCCACTTGGTAGGTATCTTCTCCAATTTTTTTAAGCATAAATCATATTTGAAAGTTAAAAAATTTGAGACCTGCATCATACTTGATGCAAATATTTCCTCATATAAACTGAAATTGGTATTCATCGTTATATTGTAACAAGGTACTGTCGACTACTTGAAGTTTTGTTCACATCTAAAGCAAAGGAGTGATAGGCATAGATTCCACATTGGGGGCAGGTTATACATATTTTTGTACGTGTGGCACGTATAGAAGTCACAGATTACATTTTCCCGGCTTTAGGTTTGCCTTTTGTGTAAGCAGGAAGGAAGCCTACTTTGAAGCGCGTGTTTGGATGTAAGGGTATAATACATTTTTGAATTTATTCATGAATAACTGCAGTGTGTAAAATTTTGAAATGCAGGGAACTGTTTTCTGAGAATTATTCAAAAAGGCTTCCACATTTTCATAACTTTGATGTAAAATGACGGTGGCCACGGATGCTATAAACAAGCTCCGTTCGTTATTGCACCATTTGACTTCAATTTCTAAAACAGAATAATAAAGTCCTAATATCACACATAACTATTGTGTCCAAGGTTTTATTATTAAAAGAGATAAATTAAGAAAATGTCAGTATCGTCACCTATGGAGGTCAAAAATACTACCGTTTCCCCTATGAAGTACTACTTCATATGTAAAATCGTTGTGGTAATAGAAATACCACGTTAAATAAAGAAAGATAAACTGAAAGGATAACAGAATCAATTTATTCCAAACATCTGTAACACATTCATGCCCTAGACTACGTTTAGCTAAACGGATTATGTTTCATATTGATATGCTTTTCAATACTTAATATACTGACGGACCTTAGAAACGCAACACACATTTTGGTGATTTTTTTTCACCAAATCATGATTGATCCTCATATAACTACTATTCATGCTTTCCATATTTCCTAATGTTTAAAAAAAAAACAATACCTGACTTACCTGAGGTTATTGAACATGCCGGATTTTTGAAGTCGCGCGAATTTCATTAAGCGAAATTTGAAACCCATGAAATATTTTTTTAAAAAGTTTTTTTTTTCGTGAAACAATTGTTTCAATGCATACTCACACTTGAATCATTACAAAATGTTTCATCTCAATATTGCCGAGACTGAGCAATGAAAATCTGAATCAGGCCATCAGAATATTGCAGGCAGGAATACGTTAACGTGCTGTTTCCCTAAAATTTCACGTCAGAAACTCGTCTTACTGTCCTTACAACAACGGTATAGGCAGACGGATTTGTTGATGACAATTCATGACCATATAAATATGTAGTGACAACGTCACGTCATTAAAATTTGATTATGCAACGCCATTTGCTAGACATGTTTACGGCCGTAACGTCAACGGCTTATCAAGTCGTCGAATGCCATAGCAGACATTTTCATGCCAAAAATGTTTCCCTTATACTGAAATGCCAAAGAATCGACTACAGAAAAACATTTAAAGCCCTAAAGTTTAAACCGTTGAAGTGCCAAAACACACAGTAATGCATGGGACAGAGGTACAATTAGAAGGTACAAAACAGAACTCAAAACATGCCCAACAGAATTGGTTGACCTTTCTGACAATCATTTTGGCGTTGGTTACAGGCAGTCATTGCCTTCGATAGTCACACATCCATTGATAAGGGGGAAAACCAGGGTTTCAGTGCATACCACATGATTTGAACATTAAAAATGACGTCATCAATTCAACTTTTGAACGGCAATTTTATTTTACACAATAAAGAAATGAATAAAATTTATGTTTATACCTTTATTTTACAAAAATTGCATCTTGGAAAAGTGGAATAAAAAAGAATAATCTAGTGTTGCGTTTTTAAAGTCCATCAGTATATAATGTGTCTCTTTTTAGACCAAAGAGGAAGTCCTGCATGAGAAAATAATAGACAAAAAGTCCTGGGTTCAAGAAATAACAAAATAAAACAAATTGCTGTTTTATTTTTTAAACCATTAAAATTTGATATCAAGGATGTTATTCTATATCTTTTAAATATTTATCGATTTTGAGCAACAATAATTTAAATTTCCATCAAAAGCATTTAATATTAAAAAACATAAACGAAGGAATCAGTTTGTACATGATATATACGTCTAAGGAGTATTAGTCCATAGTAAATAACGTCATAACACCATAGAGATTTGTTGCATTGCGGGATGACATCATTTCAAAGAATTGTATGTGATATTTAGAGAAAAGAGGCCAATGGAGGTAAATAAAGACTCAAGTTTTAGTGTTCTATTTCAGAAGTTGTTCTAATATAACATATTTTTTTCTTTCTAAATGTCTTTATGGAATCTTTAATCATTTTTTACTATCAATGTTTTTTTCTTTTTATTTATACAAATCAACACAGAATTTTTCTTATGAGTCAATGACAACTACATGTAGCCATGTAGGTATGGGTCTTCCTGTTGGAGCAGTTCCTTGTTTCTACAAATATCAATTTCACTACATACATGAAATGTTTAAATGCATTTAAATCTTTATCGACAAATCTAATTGGTCAATTACCAAAAAGTAAAGAAAATAACAGTTAAACTAAGGGTAAAAATGTTTATTGGACAAATAAATGTCAATATTATCGTTTGCCATATTTATAGAATGAATTTCATAACAGCGTGGACATGGGCACATAATAATTAAATGTTATCGTGTATATCACTGGCTGTCGACAACAAATATTTCAAGCAATTACAGTATGTCAGGGGCCTCTCAATGGGGATATACATAATTACTATCTCTACTCATGTCCATTCATAAAATAAAAGTTTTTGCATGAAAGTTTATAGGAATTTGTTTTGAATATATTTATGTACTCACAACAAAAAAGTTTCTTTTCACAGAATGAGTATATTCAGGGGTGATATCACCAAGTAATCGGAGAAAAGAAAACGTTATGTTTTTTCTTGCACAAACTTTCTGTAGCTCCTTAAAAATATAAGAAAACATTTATTCGTACGAGTTGATGTAGAGCTTTCATACTAAGATTATTTTTGTTGGTAATAAGAACCCCAGACCTTCATAAAAAATCATTTTAGTCCTCTAGGCTGCATAATTTTTTGCACGGAACAAATTTGAATTCCCATCAAAGACTCAAACGATCAAATTTTTTTCGTGAACATTTAAATATCATTCTAACAAAAAATAACTCGTGGAAATATCAAGAAGCATATGAATCCGGTCTTGTGTGCAAAATTTACGTTGATTGGAGTCAGAGTAGCTTTTGTGGAAACATTGATATTAATTTTAGATTTTGTTATACCTGAACACGTATAACAAAAGTTACGGAATCTATATTCTTTTACTACAAATTAAGCAGGTAATTTAAATGAATTTGGTCTTACTCAACTATTTTTATTTGTTATTTGAGGACGCATATTTGAAACAATTCTGCATAAACGTTTATTTGCAATATTATTCATGCTGGATTCAAAAGCATCTTGCATAGCCATCCCTCCCTTATCTTAACTGAATCAGGAATGGTTGCCCCCTTACAATTTGAAATTGTACTCACTTCTTTTTCGGTTTCTGTTTTTCAATATACATCCATGAATTTAATGATATGTTTACAATACATCTGTTTTGGAATAATAAATCATGTGCATAAGACTAAACTAGTCAACTGTAACACGAGATAATGTACAGGTTATTATGTCAAAATAACAGTAACAGTGTAATAATTACCTTTAAACTGGGTGCACTCGTTTAATTATTCTAGTATAAAAGGTATTGTGAACATATTTAATTCATGGATAGATAGTACTGAAACACAAATTGAAAAAAATAAGTACAATTCTAAATTAAATCGTGGTGATCCGTCCATTCGTTTTTCAAATCAACAGAACAGCTGCATTTAACAGGTCGTGCACATTTCCTTATACGGACATGTATTATTTAGCATACTTATGCCCCCGTCAATGCATGTATTAGTGTTTGTTTACAAATAAAGTTTTTTTTTTATTTTGGCGATTGACCAATCCACTGAATGATTTGCAATGCATGATGGACTACTTGTCTATAACTAACACACTACTTAATTTTTCACTTATTGCCAGAAAAGAATTTTTCTTATTTTTTTTTTCTCTCGATTACTTGGTGATATCACCTCTGAATATATTCATTCTTTCAAAAGACACTTTTTGTTGTGAATATATAAATATATTCAAAACAAATTCCTATAAACTTTCACGCAAAAAAATTTGATTTATGAATGGACATGTGTAAAATAGTAATTATGTATATCCCCATTGAGAGGCTCCGGACATATGTAATTGCGTGAAGTCTTTGTTGTCGACAGCCAGTGACCGACACGATATCATATAAATATCAGGTGTCCATGTCGATACTGTTATGAAATTCATCCTATTATATAAGATAATGTTTATCTTACTTCTATTGAAATATCCTGTGAGGCCACAACTTTCGCACAAGGAAGCCGTAACCCATTCCCAACTATCCGAATCAAAGACATCGAAGTAAACAACATGGTAAGTTAATTTGAAATGTATTACTTTTATTTCAAAATCTGCAATTTATAGTGAAGAAAAGCTATACTAACTGTAACATTAAGAGAATTTAAACACTCAGGCCATTCTTATTGGCAAAAAGATACATCTACTTTTTTTTTTATTTCTTCCTTTCTTCGGGGGGGGGGGGGGGGGGGGTGAATTTAGACTCTTTAGTTTGATTGAAGGAGTCTTTGAACTGTATTTGGTTGTTCCTGATGGGTTATTGTTCTTTCGGAAAACTATACGAACATTCAGCCTTCTTGTCAATAATAAAGCATACAGATTGTTTATCACATTACTTAACTCGATATGTTGTAAGAATATTCAGTGATTGTCGTTTGTTGCTGTATATCATATTTGTTTTCGTTTATTGTTTTGTACATAAATCATGCCGCAAGCAGTTTTAAATAAAGGGCGTCTGGTCGATTTATAACTTGCTTTGCTGTATGGGTTTTGCTCATCGTTGAAGGCATTCTAAGGCATTGGTGACCTATATTTGTTAACATCTACGTCATTCTGTCTCAGGGAGCAAGTGGTCTCATTGGCAATCATACCACATCTTCTTATTTATATACTTATTTCCTTAAATTAGTCGTATTAAATACATGACAATATTGAATAGTATGCAGGGCTCTGCATCTTCCATTTTATTACTTACATATCACTGTATAATATTTTGTTGAACGTAAGCACAAAGGGTGCCTAAATTGGCGATAAGGAATTTTTCAGTTAGTTTGTTTGTTTTGTTATACCTTTTTCTTCTGAGTTAAAAATGAAGTAGTTTCATTGATTCTTACTTGTGTATATAGTCCCTAGGTCAAAATGATTTCACTCTTACTTTATTACCAGTGCAAAAAGCAGGTAAATAAGTCGAGGGAGACAATATTCAGAACAAGGATAGAAATTACCATGTACCAATAGCCCTTTAAACTTCACAAGAAGGATTCTCATTTGTACTTTAGCCATTGTTTTTATGCAAAGAAAAAATCATTTGATCCATCGATGAATATTAATACCATATAGATATCGATACAAGCCGATAGATATCGACATTCATTTGTATATTATGTTTTTCTTTTCAGGCAGATAAACTCACAGAGGAACGCACTGCAGGTTAGTTGAATAAGTGTATAAAACTTGTCTAGTATATACTTCCTAGATAGATATTGTGAGTCAGATATTTTATCAGGTCTTAACAAATCTGTAAAAACGACACTAGTATCAAAAGAAGTTCATATCATTAAGACTTAAAAAAAAAAGACAATTCTTCCCTAAATCTGAGAAATATTGATAGATGATATCAAACCAACTATGTTGAAGATGGGGATAATATTCGGTAACTAGTTAACCATGAAAGCACGTGTAAAAAGGGCAACCAGGCAAAAATTGCCTTTGAAAACTGAAAAAAAATGTGTGCACAAAGAATTATAAAAAAAAAAAAGTAATAGTGAACATAAAATAAAGTGGTAAGAAAAATTCAGCTCGCTACACTCGGCATTTTTATTCCCATTATGGCTTGTTTAGACACAAGGAGATTCATATGAATCTTTAGCACCTTCATCTGGTGTCTCCTCTAAATAAGCAATTAAATCAAACCGAATATCAGCTTCCTACTGCAGAGAACTGAATATCAAAAATTATCTTATATATTTGTTTTTATTTCACCGATATCATACATTGTAATTTGTCATTGGCCCATTTTTCCCCTTGCAGGACCTGAATTGGTATAAACATATTGTAATTAGGAATGTATAGACATTAACGCTCCACATTTCCCTCCTTTCCTAGAATCCTTGATACAAATGTTTGGAAATCCAAAGAACTCAAAAGTTTAAGGGTAGATAACAGCCAAATGTCAGAAACAGTTAATCACCGCAGTCAAACATAGCAACCCTTTAATTCTCTGGGTGCGGAGGAGGAATTTATTTTTGAGTTTGCTTTTGAAAAATGATTAAAAAAATGTTTGCACCTACAACTTAATAAAAGAATGTTTCTGTTCTGTGTTAAAAAAAACATGGGGTACAAATCCCTGTCGTCCTCCAGAGAATAAAATGATTGCGGTCTAAATTGTATGAGGTCAATGAATTGATACATACTTTGTCCTCAATCACAGGAAACAACTGCCTCATATTTGAATGAATGACAGGCCAAAAAAAAAAAAAAAAAATGGGAGAAATTGATCGGAAGGGAAAAGTCCGTTTAATAAGAAGATTTATACTTTTCAGAATCGATCTGAAAATTCAGAACTTAAAGAGGCTTTCAGTATTTTCGACGAAGATGGTAACGGTACCATTAACACAAAAGAACTGGGAACTGTGATGAAATCCCTGGGACAAAATCCTACCGAGGCTGGACTACAGGCCATGATTAATGAAGTAGATGCCGATGGTAAATAGATAGTATGATTAGACATTTGGATAACTAATAATATTGGACACGACCCTTAACATAGAATTGTGATGAGCAAAACTGCAAGTAAGATTTTTCAAGGCGATATTGCTGTGGCCATCATACTGGTAATGAAGAAAGAAAAATAAAACGTAGATTAAAATATTATTCATTTGAAATTCAGATATGGTATAATTATCAAAATAAAAATTTGGTACATATATCATTTTAATATGATAAAGATTTATATCAAATATAAAATTGCTAGTAAGAATACCGATAATTGCAATATACTGTGTTTAAATCCAATCATGCGAAACAATGATGAAGAGAGGATTGATGCATACGTTAATGAGAAAGCAACCAAACTACACAAAATTAAAGGACGTTTGGGGTCATCATGTGTCTTTAACAATAGACCAATACCTACAAGAACTACATTCTAAATATCAAGCTATTAATCGTCCTAAATTCAGAAAAGTTACTGATAAATTTATCAGAGAATATTTCTACCAACAACACTAATTCTCTAAAGGAAACACAAAGTTTTGAAAGCTTGGAAGATAAAAGAAAATTACGATGCCCCGACTACGGATACACCCCCTCCGTTATGAGCAAACCAATCGCAATTGATTTTCTACCTCAACTTTAACATAAACGCATTGTGAGTACCTTTCCACTGCTATCATACTGGTCAATTGTGTCATCAAACCTTACGTGTCTTTTTGATAACTTAGAATCTCTACAGACGTTGTTTAGGATAGTCAGTTATATATAATCAAAACTTTGTAAATGTGCATGTATATTATGTTGCATACATGAATTGATGTATGATTTGTTAAAAAAAAAATATGAGTTGACTTTCCTTAAAACAAATAATAATGTTTTGCTGTCTGACATTTTTTAAAGACGATTAAGCTATTTTTTGTACGATTGTATTTAATAGTTTTCGCTTATTTTACTGTCCAACAGCAAGAAAAAGAGTAAGAATTGTCACATATCTAGACGTATATAATAAAATTGATATTGATATGTCTGCGTGGTAAGTAAAATAATCATCCTTTACAACAGACAAAAAAAGCTATAAGCAAGGTATACCATCTTCTTGTCACTATACATTATGTACTGTGTTACAACTCTAGATAAAGCCGACGAGGAAAGGCATTACTCGACTAACGAAAGCTATATTAATATATAAGTTTAAACAGTATTGGTAAAATCTTCCCACCATTGGTGTGCCCAAAGTTAAATCCTATGCCCCACTGTAAATAAATTTCCTAAAAAAATTTAATTTCTACATGGTTTTGTTTTATCCCTTTTCTATAGCAAAAAAAAAGAATATACCCAATCTGAAGTAACAACGCATGTCATGGATCTTTCAGCTGAGAGAGATATCCAGAACCAGCACGCGCCATAATCGAACACATAAAACTGTTTCTTGATTTTTATAACTCGGACTTGTAAAGCCCAAATGGGCTATCTTTCGAAGTACATTTGTGGTTGTATTTCTCCCAAAGTACAAAGAAACAGTATATAAATAATGTATCTGGTTCGTTATAGGGACTGGAACATTAAATTTCCCAGAATTTCTTACTATGATGGCGACAATGAAAGACAAAGATTCCGAAGAAGAATTGCGAGGAGCATTTCGAGCATTTGATAAGGATAAAAATGGTTTTGTAAGTGCAGCTGAACTCAGACACGTGATGACAAATCTTGGAGAAAAACTGACCGATGGAAAAGTGGATGAAATGATGAAAGAGGCTGATACCGATGGGGATGGAAACATTAAATATGAAGGTACGTTTCAATTGCAAGCTTATACTTGACAGTCATGTACATTATGCATATTTATTTTTCACGATACGTTGCGATATCTGTTGCAAAAAGGTGCTTATTTTCTTTTAGCTGCTTAAGACACGATAGAAAACAATCAAAATACGTTTGATAAAATTAACAGTATGTTGTAATATGTTAATTAGATAAACGTATAGCTTTGGTGAATCATCAATTCTATAGAACACGTTAACTTATCACATGTCACAGTTCCTAACATTTCATAGGAAAATGTTATTTGATTATTAGTCTCATATACAGAAAAAAGAAAGGACGGACTTCATACAAAAAATAGTAATTTTACCTTGATGAATTTTAGGTATTGCCCCATTTTACCAAATCCATAAAAGTGGCATGCACACATCAAAGAAAACATCAAAGCAAAAAATAAAAACAAAAAAAAACAGAAAAAAAGGGCAAATGCTACCCTTTTTGTTACCTGTGGAATATATTACACATACAAATCATATCTCATGTGCAGCGTATAACTAGTATATATATTTTAAAGTCATGATTTTTTTTTACTTGAACATGTATGAACATTATTTTTTTTCAGAATTTATCGTGATGATGTCAGCTAAGTGACCTGTCATTGCTCAAGTTATATGTTTATCCAGAACTATAATGCGTTAGAGACTTTTTCTACATTATCAATACACAATATCATTATTATAACCACAGTGGTTGAAGAATAGTCATTATTGTTAGAACCCGTTCACACTAGCATTTTTTTTAATCGATCTAAATTTGAATCGATCTAAATAAAACCAGTTAGCGTTCACATTATCTTTAATCATAATGATCTCTATCGGTTTAATCTGAACCACTGCGTTCAAACTACAAGTAAAAATGCAATCGATCTGACCTAATTACCCGTAAAACTGTAAACATTGTGTATAAATAGAAATAATTAATCAAGTTTGTGTGTTGATACACTGAAACACACACTTGAAACAAAAAATGGATGAAGTTATTGTTTCTCTTGAATCACAAGTTCAAATTCTCTTACTGGTGTTCTTGCAGTTTTTATTAATTTTGAAAATACTGAAGCAAGGAAGTTACACATAAATAAATGCTGCGGTTCATGAAAAGAAAAAATCAACAGAAGAAAAGAAGACACAGATTTTGCAAATTTATGCTACGGCGAAGGCAACTTTTTTCCGTTTGTTTTTTTTACTTGCATGTACACAAAATCTGTTAACAGATAAATGTGGGTTAAACAACGAACCACCGATATATACAGAGATGTTATGCTGTTACACGAGTAGTTTTGCCGCTATACTTGCGCATAAATTATTTTTGATTCTAGTTTAAACCGATCTTTGCGTTCACATTTGAAGTTAGATCGGCTCACTTTAGATCGATTCAAACTAAACTACCTCTTTTGGTGTTTTAGTTTAGACCGATTAAAGATCGATTCAAAGCGTTGACATTGACCCTTAAATTGATCTAAAGTGAACCGATCTAGTTTAAATCGATCTAATTGTCCTAGTGAGAACTGGGTCTTACATGTAATAAATAATGTATTAAAATTTATGTTCAAGTCTTTTATATCGATCATTGTGCACACACATACACACACCATATTCTCAATAAAAAACAGTGTTGATGATATCACTTTTAACCAAAATGAAGTTTGCAGTTTTTCATATTAAACATTTAGCAAAACAACGTGTCTTATACTTTACTCCTCATAACTTTTCTATACGAAAATTGCTGAAAAGAACAGCTCCCATTAAAAATTCAAAAGTGCATGATTACTACATCAGCAGGTAAGTACTTTCATTGAATTTTCTATGAAATCATTCTTTGATGCCGTTTCATTGTTTTGTTTGTCGTATGTACAACCGATGTTATAAATTTCATTGCTTTTTCTTTTGTACGTTTTAAGCTCACCTTTCCAAAAGAAATGTGAGCTTTTGCCATCACTTCGCGTCCGTAAACTATTTCAAACATCTCCTCTGAAACTACTGAACCGATTCTAACCAAACTTAGGCTGAATGATCCTTCGGGTATCTAGAATAAAGTTTGTGTTTTATTTTCTGTTTCGTCCAAAAACATGGCCGCAATGGCTAAAAATAGAACATAGGGTTAAAATGCAGTTTTTGGCTTATATGTCAAAAACTAAAGCATTTAGAGCAAATCTGACATGAGGTACAAATGTTCATTAGGTCAAGTTCTATCAACCGTGAAATTTTCAGATGAATCTAACAACCCATTGTTGGGTTGCTGCCACTAAATTGGTAATTTTAAGGAAATTTTGCAGTTTGTAGTTATTATCTTGAGTATTATTATAGATATAAAGATAAACTGTAAACAACAAAAATGTTTAGCAAAGTAAGATCTACAAATAAGTTTATATGACAAAAATTGTCAATTGACCCCTTAAGGAGTTATTGTCCTTTAAGGACAATTTTACACAATTTGTTTATCATGTTTTCTAACTTAAAAAAAACCTTCTCCTCTGAAACTACTGAACCAAATTAAACCAAACTTAAGCTGAATGATTCTTAGGTTATCTAATGAAGTTTGTGTTTTATTTTCTGTTTCCTCAGAAAACATGGCCGCCATGGCTAAAATAGAACATAGGGTGAAATGCAGATTTTGACTTATATCTCAAAAACTAAAGCATTTAGGGCAAATCAGACTTATCAAAATGCTCCAAACTTGGTTAAACTTAACAGAAATGTTGACTGGCATGTGTAGAATTTCCAAAATGGCTGCTGTTACCATGGAAACAATGCAAAAAAGGTCAAAATGCTGCAAAAACCTTAAAGTAGCATTTCCTCTCTTAAAATGGTAGGTCAAATCCATTGAAACTTTGATGGTATCTTCTCTCCCATGTACCAATGTGGCATCTGTCCTTAAAATTTTGAGAATGGTCTCTGTTACCATGGAAACCAGCAAAAATGTAAAAAATTTGAAAATGCTCCAAATTTAATGAAACTTAATAAACATGTTAACTGGCAAGTGTAGATGAGACATTTTTTTTTGGAATTTCCAAAATGGCCACCGTTGCCATGGAAACTGCAAATATGTGAAAAATTTCAAAATGTTCAAAACTTACTGAAACTTTACAGAAATGTTAACTGGCATACATATATCTGGCTTACGACTTTGGAATTTTCAAAATGGCTGCCGTAACCGTGGCAATGGGGGTGGGTGACATCCGCTATTGCTTGCAATAGCAATTCTAGTTATGTCACCCGATCGACAATGTCGGGTGACAAATTGCTTTTCCTCTGTTTCTTTTTTCCTATTATAATTATTATTATTATGGCACCCTCAACGGAGTTGGAGTGACATACTGTTATTCTACGTTCTCTTTTTTCTTATTATGCCCCCTCAACGGAGTTGGGGTGACATATCGTTATTCTACGTTTCTTTTTTTCTTATTATGGCACCCTCAACGGAGTTGGGGTGACATATTGTTATTGTTCCGTTTCTTTTTTATTCCTTATTTTTATTCTTCTTCCACACATTTTGTCCGCGAAAGTTCTCGTAATTGAATAGACCAATGTTGATGGAACTATACTATAATGTTGAACAGCAAGTGAAGTTGTGCACCAGACTTTGGAATGTGCAAGATGGCCACTGTTACCATGGAAACTAAAAAAATGTAAAAAAAAATCTAAATCTTTTATTCTAAGACCCAATCTAATGAAACTTTAAGGAAATGTCACCTGGTATTCCTAGATACACAGACAGTATTTAGAAGATCCAAAATGGCTGCCATTGTCATGGAAACAGGACAAAAGTTTAACATTGACCCTTTGGGAAAATACATGAAAGCTGCATTTTTTGAAGAAATAGAAGTTCAAATCCAATTAAAATTTATGGATATGTAGTATGGCATGTGTCAATGTTGCATCTGTCTTTGGAATTTTGGAAATGGACACTGTTACCATAGAAACAGCAAAACTTTCAAAATCTTCAAAATACTCCAAACTTACCGAAAATTTACAGAAATCTTACCTGGCATGTGCAGAATTGTTATTTGATATTTGAATTTTCAAAATGGCTGCCGTTACTATGGAAAGTGTTCCAAACTGGTTGAAACTTCACATAAATGGTAACTGGCATGAGCAGAGTTGCATTTGGCACTTGGAATTTTCAAAATGTCTGCCGTTACCATGGTAACAGCAAAAGTGTCAAAATTGCTAAATCTTTCATTATAGGACCCAACAGGATGAAACTTTATGGAAATGTAACCCAGTATGCCTAGATGTTTAGAAAATATTCAGATATTCCAAAATGGCCGCTGTTGTCATGGAAACAGGGGAAAAGTATAACATTGACCCTATGGGAAAATGCATTAAATCTGCATTTTCTTTAAGAGTATTACACCAAAGTCAATGAAACTATGGGTATTTAACATAGCACATGGCAGTAATATGTCTGCTTTTAGAAATTTGGAAACAGCAAAAATCTCCAAAAATTTCAAAATGCTCAAAACTCAATTAAACTTAATATAAATGGTAACTGCCAATTGGAGATAAGACTTTGGTCTTCGGAAATTCCAAAATGGCCGCCGTTGCCATGAAAACTGCAAAAAATTTGAAAATTGAAATTTTTTTCAAATTTCCTGAAAATTTACAGACAATTTGTTGTGATGTATTTATGTGCTCTGACTGTTTTCAATTTTCAAAATAGCTGCAGTTTATTGGCAATTTGGGAAGGGTGCAATCCGCTATTGCTTGCAATGGCAAATCTAATTATGGCACCCTCAACGGAGTTGGGGTGACATATTGTTATTGTTCCGTTCTTTTTTTATGGCACCCTCAACGGAGTTGGGGTGACATATTGTTATTCTACGTTTCTTTTTTTCTTATTATTATGTCACCCGATCGACAATGTCGGGTGACATATTGCTTTTCCTCCGTTTCCTTTTTTAGCTCACCTGGCCCTATGGGAAATACATACAAATGTCTTATTTTAGAGAACCACTGAATGGAATGAAACCAAACATGGCATGAATGTTCCTTATGAGGTGCTGACATTTTTTACTATGAAGCCGATCCTTAATCCAAGATGGCCACCAGCAGGGAACTTAATTTAACATAGGACCCTATGGGAAATACATACAAATGTCTTCTTTTAGAGAACCACTGAATGGAATGAAACCAAACATGGCATGAATGTTCCTTATGAGGTGCTGACCAAGTGTTGTTACTATGAAGCCGATCCATAATCCAAGATGGTCGCCAGCGGGGGACTTAGTTTAACATAGGACCCTATGGGAAATACATACAAATGTCTTCTTTTAGAGAACCACTGAATGGAATGAAACCAAACATGGCATGAATGTTCCTTATGAGGTGCTGACCAAGTGTTGTTACTATGAAGCCGATCCATAATCCAAGATGGCCGCCAGCAGGGGACTTAGTTTAACATAGGACCCTATGGGAAATACATACAAATGTCTTCTTTTAGAGAACCACTGAATGGAATGAAACCAAACATGACATGAATGTTCCTTATGAGGTGCTGACCAAGTGTTGTTACTTTGAAGCTGATCCTTAATCCAAGATGGCCGCCAGCGGGGGACTTAGTTTAACATAGGACCCTATGGGAAATACATACAAATGTTTTCTTTTAGAGAACCATTGAATGGAATGAAACCAAACATGACATGCATGTTCCTTTTGAGGTGCTGACCAAGTGTTATTACTTTGAAGCTGATCCTTCATCCACGATGGCCGCCAGATGGGGACAATGTTTAACAAAGGACCCTATGGACAATACATACAAATGTCTTCTTTTAGAGAACCACATACTGAATGGATTGAAATCAAACATGGCATGAATGTTCCTTATGAGGTGCTGACTAAGTTTTGTTACTCTGAAGCTGACCTTCATCCATGATGGTCGCCAATGGGGGGACTTCCTTTAACATAAGACCCTATGGGAAATACATACAAATGCTTCTTCTAGAGGTGCACTGAATGGAATGAAACCAAAACATGGCATAAATGTTTCTTATGAGGTGCTGATGAAGTGTTGCTACTTTGTAACCGATTTACTGTTCAAGATGGCCACCAGGATTTTTTTATTAAAGTACAGGACCAATATTAAACCAAATTTGGCCTCACTCATTATTAGGGTATCTGTTATGATTTTAATCTATTTTTACATGATTTCCAAAACCAAAGTAGAATCAGGTGAGCGACACAGGCTCTAGAGAGCCTCTAGTTTATTATTATGGCACCCTCAACGGAGTTTGGGTGACATATTGTTATTGTTCATTTCTTTTTTCTTATTATGGCACGCTCAACGGAGTTGGGGTGACGTATTGTTATTCTACGTTTCTTTTTATGGCAACCTCAACGGAGTTCGGATGACATATTGTTATTCTACGTTTCTTTTTTTTTCTTATTAAGTCGCCAAAATCGGAGTTTGGGGACTTTATGTTTTTGTCCCGTTTCTTATTATTATTATTATGTCATCCTGACGGAGGTCGGGTGACATATTGTTATTGTACGATTCTTTTTTTTTATGTCACCCTGACGGAGGTCGGGTGACATATTGTTATTGTA